CCCAGTCGAGGGCTGCTCCAATGTGGGCGGCTTGGCAACTCCTTCCTGGTTTCGTTGCAATGGTCACGTGACTCGTGGGAGTCCACCCCACGTGGCTGCGGAGACTGCCGTGGCTGGTCGGATAAAACCGAACACAAGCTCGCGTGGTGTGCGGGCCGTGGCCTTCCTTAATTGGGAGGTTGGTAACCTTTCTGATCGGCTGCTGCGGACTCCGTGGTTCGCGGGGCGGGTGACATCATCAATCAAAGAATGCCTTGGCGGCATCATCATGTGGTTCCCGGCAAGGGGAAACCTCGGAGTCGGCATGGCAAGCCGATATCACATGAATCCGGAACTTAACCGTGCCGGTATGCCGTTCGCACAGTATCGCTGACGCGTACAAGGTTTTATTTAGAACAACCAATCCCTTTCGAAGAATTACAGAGGTAAAAGTTTCTCCGTAATTTGAAATGTCCCAGAAAGGTAGGGCCATTATTCGTCGGCTGCTCGGCAGCCGATGGCATCGGCTCGGAGCTACGGGAAGTACTTCCGCTTAGTCGTGCACACTGACTTAGCGGCCCGTCAAATTTCAAAATACTACGCAGACCTGAAGAGCATAAAATGCGAAACGGGTAGAGGCTTAGTTCCCCAGAGAACTAGCCCGTTGTCTGCTAGTTTCGCTAACTCTAGTCACTCTCCGACTCGCTGCGCTCGTCGTCGAGTGCCTCCCTAACCCTAACCCTAAGACTCATATGGGTAGACCCCCATTGCACCCTCAACCTGATCCCTGTTGCGTAAACAGACATGGGCCGTAAAGTTACGGTGGGTGTTCCCATGCTCCTTCCTAATCTGGTAACCCAAAGCCAGCTCTAACCCTAGGCATTTAGTAAATCACCTTATAAATATAATAATATAATATATTAAATAAAATAAATGCAGTGGCACAGAACTGCCATGAGTCCTGCCTTTCGACCCTTCGTACGACCCTTCGACCCTTCGTGGGACCCTTCAACCCCTCATACCACCCTTCGTGGGACCCTTCATACCACCCTTCGACCCTTCGTGGGACCCTTCGTACGACCCTTCGTGGGACCCTTCAACCCTTCATGGGACCCTTCATACGACCCTTCGACCCCTCATACCACCCTTCGTGGGACCCTTCGTACGACCCTTGGACCCCTCATACCGCCCTTCGTGGGACCCTTCGACCCCTCATACCACCCTTCGAGCCTTTGTGGAAGGGTCATATGAAGGGTCCCATGAAGGGTCGAAGGGTCGTATGAAGGGTCCCATGAAGGGTCGAAGGGTCCCACGAAGGGTCCCACGAAGGGTGGTATGAGGGTCAAAGGGTCGTACAAAGGGTCGAAGGGTCGTATGAAGGGTTGTACAAAGGGTCGAAGGGTCATATGAAGGGTTGAAGGGTCGAAGGGTCGTATGAAGGGTCGAAGGGTCATATGAAGGGTCATATGACCCTTCTACACTTCATGCAAGAGTTCCAATGACCCCTCATACGACCCTTCGACCCTTCGTACGACCCTTCATACGACCCTTCGTGGGACTCTTCATGTGAGGGGTCATTATGACAGCCGACCCTTCGCCCGACCCTTCGCTGATCCCACGGTCTCCCTCCCTTGTTGGCTCATTATCTCGAAATCGGGTCCGCCGTTTCCTTAGCTTTTTTGCACATGTTATCTACACTATATAAACTGTTGTTTGCCACCCTAATTACCCCAGGGAAATGGTTTTGAGTTTTGGATTAAATGCAACTTTTTGCCTATAAATGAACTGTAAGCGGGGGTAGCCGCTATAGGGATCAGTTCTACTGGTTCACCCACATATGCTCTGATACTCTATTTGGATTATGTTGAAATATTAATATCTCTATGACTCTATGCCCCCAAAGCAACCGGGGTCCCCCAAAAATGATCGAGAAAAAAATGAAGAACCACACATTGTCCAGATGACAACAACTCATTAAGACTTGTTTTGGACATCCTGCTGTGGACCTTGGCCAACAGTCTCTTCACTGTCCGTCGCCTTTGGTTCTCGGTGTCCAACAATACCGGTGCCGCGGAGGAATAGCAGTGCTAATAAACATGCTACATTGGACGAAGCTCATAGTCAGCGGCATGCTCATTGGCAATCAGCAGTATGACGTACCTAGCATTCCAAAGGCAAAACACGTCCATTGAGCACCCTGGTAGGCCTTCAGTTGTGCGAGTCGAGGCGCGTTCGCATTGCCTTCGACCGGTATCACGCCCAACGCCCGGGACTGCTGAGATAGGACACGGTCATAGACAATCGTACTGATTGTTAACCCAAACGCAGTGCCGATCTGATGGAAGTGCAAGATGTGAGCGCTACGGGAGCGCGAAGCAGATGGCTGCTCAAAACTCGTACCTGGGTCATGGTCATGAATAAAGCTCCGGCGACACTCTGTTCATGTGGTAAGGCCACCTTTGCGACGAAGATCGTGCCGGACGCAAATATGAAGTCAGCCCCGAAGACTGATAGTATGGCACCGGGGAAACCGTAAGCCCAGTACGGCGCGCCAGGACCGACGACCGCGAAGAGAAGTGCGGCGCAACCCGTTGCCGCAGTGCCGACAACTAGAGAGTATATTCAGCCATTAGCCACGGTGCAGGGACCAAAAAAGAGGGGTTTTACTGAGTAGAAATACAACGGGCACACGAGAAATGAGGAGAGCAACGATAACATTGCATATGAATCCGGTGACGAACATCGGTATGAACCGTACCATCGTCAGTACCGGGTTGAGATGCAAGAAGTCTTGATAGTATAGCTGAATGTCACCGACGGGTCAGCGTGCAGCCACCTAGGAGTAGCGACTCGCTACTCACCTGAGCCCACAGCTGCCATGTGACAAAACACCCGTAGTTCAGAAATGCGACCCATTGCATGACCGCGAATTTGCCCCGCGCGCGCTTCCATATCGACAGCCGCATAAGCGGCGGCGGCGTCCACTTTGAGTTCGACGGGTTCGGAGAATCTTGCACACGCTCGAGGTAGCGCTCCCAGAAGAGGTACGCGACCGTGAGGAGGACGCCGATGATCAGCAGGGCGATGATATCTGCAACACGAATTCAGCCAGGGCCCGCCGGTATATGAGAAGACATAGAATGCTCACAGGAAGTTCGCCATCCCTGCGGCGCAATCTCTCCGTCACTGAGCACAAAGACGATAAGCGTTAGGCCCGCTGTTACAAGCGCAGCTCCTAGCCAGTCCACGCGTTTGTCAGGTTCGTCCGACGGCTTGTCGGCGTCTATGGAGACAATAGCGCCTATTACCGTCAGCGCGCTGAGCCCGGCGGTGAAGTAGAACGTCGAACGCCATGTTTTTCTATCATTGAACTAGTCAACATGGCTTCACGGAGTAAAGATCAGGGCACGTACTGGGTTACTTGAGTCAGTACACCGCCGACGTTCGAACCTAGCGACGCGCCGATAGGAGCGCCAGCGGAGAACGTCGCAAAGGCCCATGAACGTGCTTTCGAGGGCGGAAAGGCGTGAGCAAGAATGCCAAGCTGCAAGCCCATCAGGGTATGTCAGACTCTCGGTCAGGAGATGGATAGGGCAACGGTACGCACTCCTGCAGGGATGGTAGCAGCTGCACCGATACCCTGGAAGCCTCGCAAAACGTCCAAGGTGATCTCATCTGCGTCGCAGGGGCGTATCAGCCGGGAAACGCGAGGGAAGGAAGCAAGGGTACGTACCGTTCACAAACGCGCATCCCAGACTGAACGCAACCTGGCTCAGCGAGCCCAACACAAAGGCTCTCCGTCTCCCATACAAATCTGCCAGTCTCCCAAGGAACAATAGTAGACATCCCTAGGACACGATGAGCGTTAGCTCCACTTCGAGCGCGCCGAGGAGCACTGCATACCGATGTCAGGGAATATGCGGAAAGGATCCATTGAAGTCTTTCTTCCGGAATATCGAGCTCCTTTCCAATCGTAGGCAGCGCAATAGAAGCTGACGCTGCACACACAGCCTAGGTTAATACTGTTAGCGTAGTAACACCCAAGCGCAGGACCTGTACGTACATTGATTCCCATAGCCAGTGTGCACGTCCCTACGATAACACATGACCTGAACGTGCTTCGTCCTTCGAATCCATTGTCCTCCTTCGTCGTGGGTTCCTGAGCGTTGTTTTCAACCTGACTTCTTCTCTTCTCGTCGTCCGTGTCATAAGTCGTATCGCGAGTCGAAGCCATCGTTTGGACAGCCGGGCGTGGAAATTGGTCGACAACTCGTCCGCAGCCAACAGCGAGGAAGGAGAGTTGTAACGACTGATCATGAACGATTATCCATGCTTGAGCAAACGATCCATCATGAGCTCAATTTGTCGTCGGCGCTGACTATGTAGACTTGCCAAATCTAAGATCCGCGAAGCGTATTAATAGCAATGGATCAGGAACCGGGCGCCTCTGGAATGTGACTGGCAAGTGTGGCACTGGCAAGTGAATGAAACCACTGGTCGGCAGCATCAGTGCCGCGTAACGTCGAGCCCGAAAGACGAGAAATAAAGAAAACGGAAGAGTATGCAGGTACAACCAGATTACATAGCGTTTTGATAGCATTACTCGATGGAATCTACGGCGAAATGACAATTTTGAACGGGTCGGAGCCACCCTCTTCGAGTCCGGCCAGGACAGCTTCCCTCACAACCCCGAGGTAGTCGGTCAAACGCTTTCCCTCGTTGTCGGTAAAGTCGTCGTATAACTTATAACGTGAGTCCGCGACTACGTTTGCGAGCTCAACGGCGTGCTTCAAGTTTCTAAACCAAAGTCAGTAAACGTACTACGATGACAGGAACAAAGCCGAAGCCTTACCGTCGATACCTATGTCGTGAGTTCACGAGCATGACGTGCAGGCGGACGATGAAGTCCGGGATATAGATTTGCCGGATGCGTATGAGCTCGCGTCGCCGACGATCTGCGCTCCGGTTAGCATGGGCGTTCGAGAGAACGAAGAAAGGGCCAACCTCCGCCTTGGCTGACATCCGAGACGAGCCAATCCGACGTAAGCAACTTGACGACCTGCTCTCGCGCGTAGTCGAGAGCATCCTGGTAATATGTGTCATCAGCCCTCATGGGCTCGACATCAGAAAGCAGTCACTTACTCTGTAAGTTTCTGACCATTTTATGTGGGCCTCGCGATGCATCGGCTGGTACTCCAACGCTTGCAGCGCGACCACCCGGTCAAACGCTTCCTGAACGATGAAGAATTGGCCATAATGAAGGAACTCGGTCGCACGGTCCTCGGGCACGCCAATGGACGCAAGCTCATCGGGGAGCCTGTCCAGGACGTGTTTCGCTACATGGACCCTGCCGGCACCTGTTACACATTAGGAATCAGCCTCACGCGTGTCTGTGCAAGGGGAGTGTGCGTTGATCTACCGATGAAGTAACGCAAGATGACGTTCGCTTGCTCTAAAGCCGTATCGTATGTAGCCTCCTGAAAGGTCGTCCACTCCAGAGAGCGTAGTAGCAGCATCTCCTCGTCGCTGGGAGCCCTCAGTAGCGACTGCGGCGCGAGGCTGGGTAGAGGTCCCTTCAACAACGGTGGGAGGGTCTGCATAACCCAGTGAGCAGTACCCCGCTCTGGGAACATACGGCGGCACGCACCTTGAACACCTTCTCCATCGTCCGTTCCGCGGTCGCGATCGCGACGAGGGTCACATCGAGCCCGTGCGCCTGTGCACGCGCGAGCGCAGCACGGCGCTCGTCAATGTCGGCGGAGAGCTCGAGGGAGACGAGGAACGCCGCGTAGCGCTGAATGGCGTTGTCTCCGAGAGCGCCGGCGTACATGGCAATGAGGTCTCGTTGGCCGGCATCCTAGAGGCAAGATAGTAGTGAAACCGGTATAAACGAGAATAGGAGGAGCGAGACGGACCTCGAGAACTCGCAGATATGCTTCGAGGATGACTTGGGCTGCGTCAGGCGAGACGGGTATGTCTATCATGCGGAGGAAAAGGCATAGATGGGCGAAGAATCGTGTCATGTATGGATAGCTACGACCGAGGGGTAAGACGAGTGAAGAGCGAATGAGCGAAGACATGGCGTACTCGATAGCTGCAGGCGTATGCTTCCCGGTCTTGAGGCCGTCGGCGAAGTTGTCCAGCAGAGCGTCCGTCCGATCGAGGATGATATGCAACTGTGATATATGGAATGGATGGTCACCAGGGGGCCTGGTAAAAGAGATCAGCCTCTGCCCCCTGTACTTCATTCACTAAAGACCTTGCACGCACCCTTCGAGAACCTCGATCCCGGACAGCGCCAACAAGGTAGTCGAAACATCTCTCTCCCACTCCTCGTCTTCCCGCCCTCCACCTCCCTTGATGCCCTCCCGCTCGAGCTCTTCTTCCTCCCAGAAGCCGCCTCCAAGCTTGTTCAGCTCCAGCGCCTGCTTCTCTTCACAGAGAACGCTAATCTGCGCCCATAGGTGGTCTTCCCAGGTGCGGCACGCCGTCTTGAGGACGGCGGAGGTCTGTGGCGTTGGGACAAGCGCAGCGTAGAGGGCGCGTTCTTGGTCGGGGAGGCTGGGCTACGGGGAGAGTAAGCGAAGAGGAAAAGGGGGAGAGACGGCGGACGTACGTTGAGTGCGGCGCGGGTACATGTCGTCTTCCATAGTCTTCGCCGCCGGTTGCCCCGCCAGCCGTCAAAGTCGTCCTCCGTCTCCATCTCGGGCATTCCAGTCGCTAGAAAACATCATGATGCTACCAGAACGGGGAGAGGACGGCGGACGTACTGATAGCTCGCCACTCGAACAGCAGAGAGCCGCGAATGCTCGCGCTCCGCCAGGGTTGGTGGGCTTTTCGGCATAGCTCCATTGCCTCCTCAAGTCGCCCTGCACGTATGTACAGGTACAACGACTGCGCCAATGACTTTTCGTAGCTCTGGACACGCAGACGTCACGGGACCGCACACGCCCACGAGAACAGCACCCACCATGTCATCCCCCGCCAAGCTCCTGCCCTCCTCCCGATTCCCAGCATCCGGGTCCAAGAACCGCACCAGCCCCTCCTGGTCCCGCTGGCTCCCCGTCCTCATCGCCTGCGCGAGCCGGTGCCTCGTGAACCGCCAGTAGCCCGCGGTGGCCTCGCCCGGCGGGGGCGGCGGCGCGGTGTCGTGCAGCCACTCGCGGACGACGACGAGCTCTGAGAGGAGCGCAGAGGCCTGCATGATGGACTGGGCGAGCGCGGAGGTGGGGGTGTAGGGGTTTTCGGCGAGGAGGTCGCGGGTGGTGGGGAGAGGTTCCGGTGCTGTTTTTCGTACACTGGTAGCCAATGTAGTTATGCAGTTGGCTGTGTATGTTCATAAATGAGCAGGAAGGGGAACGCACGGCATGACGGCCTGCAACAGGCTCCATGTATCGCTCTCCATTCGTAACGCCTCCAGCTCCTCCAGGGCTAACGGCGCGCGCGTTTCTATATCCTCAGCGTCCTCAATGCTGAGTCGTACCCTCAGTTCGAGAAAATAAACACGGGACTGGAAGGCTCGCCGTACCGTCTCTGGCATAGTTCTCGCAAACGCGGGGCAAACCCGCTCTCGGGGTCTAGCAACGCCGCCAGATCATCTTTCATCTTCTGGCATAGCGAGAGGACGTCCGCGCATTGCTTGTAGAGATTGTCTTCAGACATTGCGAAGGCGCGAGGGACATGAGACGCGGTAGGGTTGTGGCTGCAGCTGCGCGTCACGTTCGTCTGGATCTCGTGCTTCGCGTCGCAGAAGTGGCGGTGGCGGTTATCCTTTGTTTTTTGCCACATCCTGTGTAATGTGTTATCCCAGACAGCAGCGCTTCGGGGCGCGATGCTAACGGAGGAACTTGCAAGCTGCTGGAGTTTCTTTCAGAATGGCTCTGAACTTCCATCCGGTGAACTCCGTGTCAGACTAAAGACCGCTCTAACTTATTTCTAATCTCTGACTGACTCTGAAAAAGCACGCATGTGAAGCAGCCTGTAGTCAAGTACGTCGTCATGGTCGACGTCCTGTTGACCCCCACACGCAGCCCGCATCCCACAGTCGTAACCGCGCGCATCGCTCACGTACAACTCAAGCGTGATCCTTGACCGCCTGCCAGCTCGGCCTGGCGTTCAGCTCCTTCCACCAGCGGTAAAGGTTGGGCCGCTTGCCGTCCTCGAGCCAGGTGTACCCGCACTGGGGGAACAGGTTCCCGTGGGGCAGGTGGAACAGGTCAGCGAGGGTAAGCTCCTATCCACGCCGATCGCATCAGTGCCGGCGGCTAGCACAGGAAGGACGGGAGGGACGTACGTCGCCGGCGAGGTACTTTTGCTTGCTCAGGATCTTGTCGTACGCGTCAAACGTCTCCTCCAGCGTCCGCGCATACTCCTTTACCCTCTCCTCGTCCGTCGTCAGCCCGGTGTACCTAACCCGCCGTCAGCGTCACCTTGCGCCCAGAGACTCGTCCGTGGACTCACGCCTTCCAGATCTTCTCCCACGCGAGCGAGTACGCGAGGTGGTCGACGTGGCACACCTCGGTCTGCACGGCCTGCTCGTAGCGCGCGCGGCGCTTGACGTCGTCCTCGCTCGGGAGGAGGGGCGAGCGCGCCTTGGCGGCGAGGTAGAAGGCGATCGCGCGCGACTCGTACAGGACGAAGCCGTCGTCGTCCTGCGGGCGCGCGTCAGCACCGCGCCGCGCGATCCAAGGTCGCCATACGCACCAAAACAGGCACCTGCGCGAGCGGCGAGTACTTTTCCACAAACTCGGGTTTCTTCTGGTCCTCCGTCCAGAACGAGAGCTCGACGAGCTCGTAGTCGAGCGCGAACTCCTTGCAGAGCATCGTCACGCGCTTCGTGTTCGGGCTCGTCGGCGCGCCGTGGATTTTGAGGACCATGTTGGCTAGTATGCGGCGGGCGGGGGAGATGACTGGGACATTGGGCGTATATAACGCGTATATAAGTACGCCCGGCGTCTCGCGGGCGGCTTGCGTTTGCATGCCCGCCCGACCTGCACGGTAATCCAGCCTCGCCGTCCTTGGACTGTTCGGCGACGGTCTCGATTGGCTCGGGCATACCGGAGTCGGGCGGGGATGGTAGACGCTCGCAGGTAAGCGTACACAGACACGAGACACCTTGGAGCGTATAGAAAGGCAAGCGACGTCTGATCTCCAGCGATAGTTTCGAACGCGTGTGGCGATAGCCTTACTTTGATTTGTCCAAGTAGCCCTTTGCGATTAGACACACGTGCGGCCTTGAAAACACGACCACCTTTGCGTTGTACTCGTCGCTGACATGTGGCGGCTGTAACAGGACCCCCGATAATCAGTATAAATGCCTGATCCCGATGACCCATAAGTAGACCCATTTTGTCCGGAAGAAAATCGCCGATTTTGGACCTTTTGTCCGGAAAAAAACAGGCATCACAGCGAAAAAGAGGTGGCTTTACCGCGCCCCCGTGCAAACACGTACAGATATACCATATTGAGAAGAATGTCATGTGACGCCGGCACACGCGGGCTTCCCTCCGGGAGCGTGTCCGACGCCTAGAGTAGCCAGTGGGGACTAGGAGGTCCGTAGAGATGAAGTAGATAAAATTTGTGTTTAATTTCATAGACATGAAATACATATATATGACAAAAGACACTATACAAAAAGGTAAAACGAAGGCAGGTCATAAACCCTAACCCTACCTACAAGGAACAGCAAAATGACAGTATGGAGAATCGAACGGCAGACATGAAGAGTCCACGCCGTGCGTCATTACCACTACACTACAGCGGCTAAGAAAACGGGGAATATGGCACTACTATAATAGTATTTGCATGGCCAGCTTACTCAATCCGCTATTTTGAGTGACGTGGCCGGCGGCGGCGGAGGTCACATGATATTTCTCTCGAAAAGGTAATATTTGGTTGTATTTGCACGGGGGCGCAATAGCAAAGACGGCGAAAAAGTGGCTCTAAAAGGCAACTGTGGCGCGGGTACGTCTAAATTTAGCACCCCGGCAGGTGCCGGGGTAAATATGGCATCGAAATGGCCAAGTCTGACCAAAATGTCCGGAAAAAAATAAGGCCTATTCTCCAGAATCGGCCGATTTGTCTGTAAAAAATCAGCCATTGAGGGCTCTAAAGTCCCAAAATTTGTCCGGAACCTGATCAGGCATTTATACCAATTATCGGGGGTCCTGCTGTAACATTCTTGAATAACCCTTGGAGCGGGACGACGTCGGGCGCATCGGCCGGGAACGGGATGACCCGAGCCGGCGGCTATGCCAGCGAGTTATCAGATAACTCGGGCAACGGACCACCCGCCCCGTCTCTTTCCTTTCCTTTACGTCTTGCCTCGCCTAGTCTTGACTTTCTACTCGACTGCCATTTGCTGCTACTCGCTCAACGCCATTGGTGACTTGAAGACAATGTCCTGCACGGATGGTAGACGACACGGAGCACCGACAAAGACGGTGGCCGTGCTCGGCGCATCGTTTGGTGGTAAGCGTCTTGAACACGATCTAGTGAAATGCTCAGCGCCGTACCTGCCCAGGCTTTCATGCTGCGCGCATCCTTGCCAACGGTCTCCCTGAAGACTGGAGAGTGGTCCTCATCGACCGCAACAGGTGCGTACCGTAGCTCCTTTGCGCGACACCCTCCTCACTCTCGAGTATCTCCTACCCGTCACCTGTCCCACTGCTGACGCGTCGCCCGCCCTCTCCCGCAGCCACGTAAACCACCTCTACGTCTTCCCGCGGTACGCCGTTCTCGCGGGCCACGAGCACAAAGCATGTACGTGCCTTCAACCCCCGCTCTTTCCCGTACCATTCCCCCGGTCCCGCTCCATCCTTCCGACTCGCCCACATTTCCATCACTCCCCACTCCCCAGACGCATTCCCAATCGACTCGGGACCCAACCTCACTGACCCCTTCCGCAGTCATCCCGCCCTCCCACGTCTTCCCCTCCCCACCCCACACCTTCCTCCACGCGCTCGTCACCGCCCTCTCCCCTTACTCACTGACCTACCAACCCCTCGCCTCCCCGCTCTCCCACGGCGCCCGCATATACGAATGCGCGCACCCGTCGCACGGGCTCTACACCTGCCCCGCCGCCGCCTCCCCACACACATTGCACTTTGACTACCTCGTCTACGCGCTCGGCAGCCGCCTCCCCGCGCCGATCGACCTCTGGGGCGACGAGCGCGAGCGCCGCGCGGACGATCTTCACCAGGCCCAGTGCGCGTCGTTTGCGCCAACGTCATACAAGGGGACAAAGGCCGCCGGGATCGCGTACCTGAAGCGCATGCAGGAGCGCGTGCGGGCCGCGCGGAGCGTGCTCGTCGTGGGCGGGGGCGCCCTGGGCATCCGTGAGTGTCGACCTGTGCTATTTATGCGTCAATCTAATCTTCATCTCACTGCTCCGTTTCCCCAGAGTTCGCGTCGGACATTGCCGCGCTCTATCCATCCAAGCATGTCACGCTCCTGCACTCCCGCCAGACGCTGCTCCCGCGCTTCGAGGAGGAACTCGGCAGAGTCGGTGAGTGGTTCTGTCGCGCCTTAGATGGCACACACCTGACCTGCATCACTCCCTTGCAGTCCTCTCAGCCCTCTCATCCCTCGGCGTGAACGTCATCCTCGGCGAGCGCGTCGACCTCTCCACGCTCCACACCGAGCGGCACCAGGTCAAGCCTGCGCACCAGCGAGATCAAGCAGAGGAGGAGGAGGAGCGCGTCGTCAAGACCGTCAAGGGGCGCGAGGTGCGCGCAGAGCTCGTGGTGAGTGTTGCTATTCTTTACCTACAGCACCGCGCCTATCGTCTGGGACCGTGTCCCGGCATCTACGCTGGTGCGACACGCGCCCTGATTGGCCCGCTCGGGGGCTTTCGGGGACCCTGGGGCGTCGCGCCATCTCCGCCTCCCACTCTCTTGCCCGCATTCAACGATGCTCACGCCGCCGTCCGCATCCAGCTCCTCTGCACCGGCCAGACGCCCAACACGGCCCTCCTCGCGTCCTTCCTCCCCGACGCGATCGTCCCCGCGGGCGCGCGCAAGGGCATGGCGCGCGTCAGGCGCTCGCTCCAAGTTGCCGTGCCGCGGCGCGTGCCAGCCCTCGACGACGACGACGACGACGACACCCTGGACGTCCCGCACCCGCACCTCTTCGCGATCGGCGACGCGGCGGACGCCTTCGGCGCGCTCAACGCGGGGCACAACGCGCACTGGCAGGCGGAGGTCGCCGCGCGCAACATCCTGCGGCTCGTGCGCGGCGCGCACGCGCACGCGCTCGAGGCGTACGCGCCCGGGCCGCCTGCGATCAAGGTCTCCCTGGGGCTCGTGAGTCTCGTCTCGCTCTCCTGCTGCTTCGTGGTTACGGTCGCTGACGGACACGGCGCGCAGACCGACGCGGCGTACCAGATCAACGGCGCGGTGGGCACGAAGACGGGCTGCGCGGCGGACCTCGACGCGCGCGGCATGTGGCAGCATTTCGGGTGGCGGGAGGTGCGCGAGGAGGATTTGGTGTTGTAGCGTACGGGCCTGGGCGGGGCGGGGCGGGGCGGGCCAACCGCTGCCCGCCATAGACTAGGGGATGGGTGTATGTAGCTGAGTACGGGTAATGGGAGGCGCGTAGGTGTGACTGTCTGCGTGCATCAGCGAAATGGGTCGAACGCGGTGGAAAAGTCCCTCGCATCCAGTACTCGCTCTCCGTCTTTCGTGATTCAAGAAGTATCCATCGTACTTTGTTCCTCAGAACCTGAAGGGGTTCTACATGCTACGACAGACATATCGCGAATCCATCGTCTCCGTGGTCCTCGAGCGTCAGTCTTCCGGCTTGGCACGTTTGGCACAGACCGCCATCAGACGACAGCATAACAAGAGGGCGCGGTGGTGCGCAAAGAAAGCAAGCAACTCGACGGAGCACAAGTAGTAGACACCCATGGTAGACAAGCCGCCTCGATTCCGCGGTGGTGCAAGTGAGCGCTGGCTCATCGTCGGAGGGGTCGGGTCGCCAGCGTGCACCCCCGCCCGATCCCTTCTGACGTCAACGCGCAGAGCAGGGTGGACATGCGTATGGTCGCCTTCGTCCACCCAGGACGGCGGGTACGCGATGTGATTGTTGGACTACGCGCGACCCTACGGATGCGCGCGGCCCTTCCCCCGACATCGCGGGCATCAAGCGTGCGGCGATTGCGTGAGGCAAGGATCCGACCGACAATGCATGTCGAGAGCTCCAGAGGAGAAGCAGTGGGTTTAGGACGCACGGTTGAACTCTCGGACGTCTTCCCCCATGGTTCCTTGGAACAGAATAGTATGGCTATGACGTTACCTTCTGATACTGGACCGAAGATTGGTCAGCGGACAGGATTTGATAGATTCAGAAGTTGGCGGACGTGATAGCACGCTATGATGGATCGTTGCGAGCGTTGAAAAGCTCACTCGTGATAACATCGTGCCCGGCTAGATCGTACACAGGAACAGGGCCGTACAATTGGAGCGTTCTCTGGGACCTGTATCCAAAGACTATTGGGAGGTGTCAGCTCGTTCACATTCGTTGGTTGGGCAGCACTTCCCGCAGCTGATTGGTACTCTGGACGGGTGCGGCCCCGCACGCGAATGTGGAGGGCGTATAGGCTCCCGGTGGTCGTCGTACACGGGGTCTGAGACAGGACTCGGTTAGCAATGACATCGTGGACACTACCGCCAGGGGAGACGTGTAACTGGACGTGGTAGCGAACGCGAAAGGAATAGATCACGGGACGAACGCCCAGCGCCCGTCTTGCAACATCGGAGCGAAGGATTCGTCGAGTTCGTCCGGGGTCTCATGCGAGTCCACAGTGTTGGATCCTTTGGGTTCGTGGTCAAAACCAACAGTGCAAGGAACACGTACCAGCTAGTCCGATGACGCCCCAGCTCAAGCGACTCAGCTTTGTCGGAAGGTCAGCCCCCCGGACGTCCCCCTCTGCGCAAGCCAGATATCCCGGAGATAAATGGGACAGAATAATTGGATCGTGGTGCTTTGTCGAAGACGCCGGATATTCCTCGCAGATTTCGGCGAACGAGAACCCTGCAGACCTCTGTGGTCGCGCGTCCCTGGCACGCCAGGGGATGTGATGTGACTATCCATCAGCCTGGTACACTGTCCGACGTACGCTGAGCCCATATCTACCCGGAGAAAAGTCCCAGCGCGGTGTCAGTGTTATCTTATGCTTGACGGTATACTCATACTGGTCGAAGAATAGTACGCCCTCCAGGACGCTGAGATCGCCGACCAAGCGTCTCTCGCCGTATGGCTAATCAAAGTCCCTCGATGAAGTGAGATGGGAGAAGAGTAGGGCGGTATGGGTTGGACACAGACGATGGAGACAAGGGACATTGGCAGCAGAAGGACGAATACCAGAGCGATCTATATTCTGGAATGCTGCATACCCACCAAGTACATTATGTACGAACCACGATCGCGAGTGCCAGCAATCGGCGAAACGATAGAGAACTTTCAGAATTCTTCGCGCAGGCAGCCGAGCCCGGAAAGGTAATTATACCCCACTCGGGGCCACAGTGCACCACGACTCACCACTCTTGTTGATCAGGACACAGCATTAGCGGAGCAAAATTGGTGATACCCTACTCTAATAAGTAAGCCGCGGAACGGCTGCTGAGTGCAGAAAATACCAAGCTTCTCTATCGTTTCGCCGATTGCTGGCAAGTACGGAATTCGAAACATTCCAGCGTTCGCACAGATGACGAGATGCTCACTTGGCAATGTCGTGACAGGTCATCAGTCATGTCGAGTCTCGCGATCCAGACAGTTCACTGCTGCGTTCCTGCTCAGTGCTGAATACTTCGATCTCTACATCACACATCGGCGAGTCTACCTCGTCCACACACCTGTGGCTAAAAACAGCCTGGAAACACGAGCACTGACCCATTCCCATACAACAGCACTCGTGTGTCGACTTCGTGTCTACTGTAACCAATCGAAGTAAATACCATTCGAGAGATGCACGCCAACCATCACTTCCCCCGGGGGAAGCGTCGACATGCATCGCCGCTGCTCGCCTTCCTTTGCTCTCTCATCTAACTACCAATGCTTTGTAAGAGACATCAGACGTCAAGTATAGCCCAGCCAATCTCACCCTCCGATAAAGATACTTTTAGCGCTCAGAACCTTGATCAGTGCTTATTAAGAGTTACTATGGAGTCTTTCTAAACATCGAGGTCCTTCCAGCCATCGAGCAAGCCTCTAGGGTAGCAACCCTACGTGTCGTCTGATAAATGCTGTTCGACTTATGATCAATGGACGTCGCTGACTAAAATGTTTCGCGTCAGAAAGTGTATGCAGCTGTGAATTCGGATGGTTTGGACAGGGACGCGAGAAGTATATAAAGGTCCGGCAAAGCTGGAGTGGAAGACAGCATCGAACAACCCTCTCTACCTCCATCATCTCATCGCATAACAGCAATCCCATCTCCATGTCTCACGGAAAGCAGTTCACTCTCTACACCCACAAGGTACGCTCCGCACCACCGCTCCCGCGTATCCCCCATGACTGATCCAAAACGCAGGGCGGGCCCAACGGGTGGAAGGTCGCGTTCTTCCTGAGCGAGCTCGGCCTGACCTACGAGTCCATCTACCTCGACTTCGACAAGAAGGAGCAAAAGTCTTCCCCGCACATCGACCTGAACCCCAACGGGCGCATTCCCACCATCATCGACCACAAGTAAGTCCGCTATACCCGCCTGTCTGCACTCATACCACCGCTGACGCGACCCGCCCGCTCAGGAACGGCGACTTCGTGCTCTGGGAGTCCAACGCCATCCTAACCTACCTCGCCGACAAGTACGACCCCGAGCACAAGTTCAGCGCCAGCGCTGAGGAGGATAAGGTAAGCCCTCCCTCCCCCCTCCTCCTCTAACCCCCGCTCACGCCCGCGTTCCGCAGTACAAGCAGCTGCAGTGGCTCTTCTTCCAGTCCTCCGGGCAGGGCCCGTACTTCGGGCAGGCCGCCTGGTTCACGTGGTACCACCCCGAGAAGTGAGTCTCCGTCTCATCGTCACCGGGGACATGCGCTGAGAGCGCCGGGCACCCAGGGTGCCCTCCGCGGTCGAGCGCTACCAGAACGAGATCAAGCGCGTCCTGGGCGTCCTCGACGGGCAGCTCGCAACGCGGGAGTGGCTCGTCGGGGGCAAGTACTCTATCGCGGACTTGGTACGTGACATCGGATGCTTGAGGGGTGCTAGGATTGACGCGTTTCCGCGACTTGGCAGTCGTTCATCTCCTGGACAAACGTCGGCGTGAACGCGCTCCTGCAGGACTACGACCTGTCGAAGGAGAACCCGCACGTCGATGCGTGGCTTAAGAAGATGCTCGCCCGGCCGGCTATCCAGAAGGTCTACGCTGAGAAGGACGCGCTCGCCAAGCAGTAGAGTAGCCAGGATGTTGATTGTCTGTCGAATATGGATATATAGCGTCGAACTAGGATATGTAGCTGCCAACTTATGCGCATGCCAGAAATGAAATAGCAATGTCGAGAGAGAGCTCGCAGGTTGAATCGCCCCAAGACTAAATAGACGTACGAAAGACAACTTCGACTTTGGTGACTTCGCTGTTGGGTGTACGGATAGAGAACATGACGGGGCGGTGGTAGGGGAGGGAACACGTCTTGGACGAGCAGGTGGTGGGGGTATCCAAGACCATTTCGCCGCTCGTCGGGCGCCTTGGATCCTGGTGGCCAGGAGAAAATCTGATGCGTAATCGCCGCTATCATGCGCCTCCAGACATGTCACAGTCTACGAGGCCGAAGAGATGACCATGCAGGGCTCCAACTCTCCTAAACAAAAGACAACTTCGACATTGAAGGATTCGCGTAGGGTATCTGAATAGAGACGAGGCACTACAGTGCGCTAGCGGGGTGGCTTCATTTATCATCAGAGCCCTAGATTGTGGGACAGAGTAAACATGGCTGGGGAGGAGAGTGGTAGGACGAGAGTATGCCGCTCTGAAGAGGAGGGGGTGGGGTATTCCAGATCCCACAACCTTTCGCAGCTTGTCGGGCTCCTCGGATTCGGACGGCCTGGCGAATATCTGATGCGTAATCGCCGCTATCATGCGCCATCCGACCTGTCGCAGTTTGCTATCAGCGCGGTGTCATATCCGTTATTGTTCACTGACACGATGCCAGGCTGGGCCGAGCACTTCCGGATCGTGCATTCCGACATGGAGCCAAATCACTCTGCGTTCAGAGGCGCCATGGATTGCAAGTGGTTCTATATCATCCGCTAAATGTAAACTCAACAACGTAGGACATACCGTACAAAATATAGTGGCACGTAGCTCGAATGCTTTCCAGTCGGACAATGCCTCGGTTAGCCAGCCGCAAGGCCAGCAGGCTGCCATGAAGCACGTCTACCAAAACTTTTGGAACTGAACAATGGGGACTTCGGGCTACAAGGTTAGGTTTCTCTGCAATCGCTGTCCGCACCTGGTCCAACATGACAAAGTCCGTATTCATGGCCCCCTCTGGGCCACGCGAATTGTTATTGTCTCCCTGGTAGAACACGACATTAGATTACCGGCTGTGGGTCCGCGAGTGTGCGCTGTTACTCGTCGGTACGCCTCATGCCTGCCTCCATATAGATGAAACCTTGATGGTCCGGCTTTGTCGTCATAACTTCCGGCGCAGCCACAAGACATTATTCAGATACGAACGTCAGCAAAAGCGGAATATCTTTTACATATATTGATTGTGAGACATACCTGCTCGCTAACCCTGCGCACCGTACGACGCTCGCATGCTCGAAATCAACAATCACCTCGGCAGATCTCGTCGCGCGACGCAATCTCGCAGAACCGCCAATCACGACATCACTCTATCGACGCGATCTTCTTTTTGTCAACAGGAACACACCTAACGCCAGTTATTAGTAGCCGCCTTATTGTCAGTTGGAGCCACGAGAGCCAGACCGCCTTATTGTCTGCGATCCACGACACCTTCCTTATTAGGAAAGAAGCTCTGGAACAGCACCGTGCGGCCACAATCCTACCGCAGGCCCAGTGCTTATTGTTATTCACGCGAGGAGCTCTCCAGAAAGACGGCAGGCGTATAAAAGTGCATGAGCCCTCGCCGGGGCTTCGCAAGTCGAACGCAGTTCTTCTCCCTCCGTCCGCATCCCAGCCGCTCTTCCTACCTTTCCAAATCCTCGAAACCGAGAACCCGCGATGGATTTCTTCACTACCGTATTCACAACTTCCCCCTCGTCGGAAGACAACACCATCCTCTCGTCCCCGCCCGTCTCCGAGGAGTCAGGCGGTAGCGGCGGCAACTCGTACTGCACCATCGCATAGCGGCGGTCCGAGTTGCACGGTCGTAATTTATTGATTCCCGTTATTCGCATCTGTAGTGAGTTCCACGTCTCCACTGAGTATCTGATTCTCTGAGCGCTCACCTGCAACTATTTCGACTCACAGTCCCTATGCAAATCACTTGACGACGTTTACGAATTTCGCTTTTTCTGCCGGGGCACGAGATGGGGGTTGGTTCTGTTGTACGCTTATGCTGAGAGGAATACTTTCGTTGATTTTGATCGGACGTCGCCAATTCCGTCCAGTGTTTATTCACCTTCGTTTCTTCCGCACCTGTTGTACGTTTCAGTTCTCGTTTGTATTCATGCGATCGGGAGGGCTTTAGACTTGAGGGCGCGGAGATGGCGCCTACGAATGGTAGTGAGGGGAGGAGAAGTGGACGGAGAGGTGACTTCGATTGTACGCACCGCATAAAGAAAATAATCACTGTTCATCGCGTCTCGTCGATTTGTGGCTTTATCGAGGACAGCTCGGCACGGCGGCGCCAGCCATTATACGTGGCCGGGAATGGATGAAATTACGAGGAGATGAACTTACGAGGACACAGCATATACAATATGCATTAGTCTTAATATCGATACACGCTCCGCGTGAGAGACACGAATAACTGCATCGGTGGAAGTACGCCAGCCAACAATAGCAGGATACCTTCGGTGTCCATGGCTAGGCAATCAATCCATGGAAGCGAAGAAACGGTCGCTCCAGAAACATAGTGGCGATTAAATTGCAAGGTGCTCAAGGCATGCGTAACGGATTATCGCACAAGGTACGTATTCATGAATGCATATGACACCGTTTCTAGATTACCCTCAGCCTCGACAACCGAAAAAAGGAGGGGACTTTCGGTTCAATAGAAAAGATGTTACTCGAAAGACTCAGCTTGCATCTTCCCATGCTCTACCTTCTCCGATTTCGCCATGCTCAGCGAGAACACGGCAGGGGCTACGACGATGAGGAGGCATGTACACGGAGATCGAGCATATCATGCTACAACATCCCAGCGTACATGCCGCCTGCTCCTCGCAAGTCCCGGGCAGCGATCTCGTCCATTGGTGAAGAAGCTTGTAACAGCGATTTGACATCGAGGAGACACATACGTCCGGCATTCACAAAGACGCAAGTATGGATCACGGTTGATGACTATGTAAAAGACATTTCAAGACCTGAGGCTGTCTATCACGTAGCTTTCGAGGGAGGAGAGTTCCGCTTTTAACGGCGTCGGCGAATGGGTACGATTAACAACTGAACCGGTACATTGACGGCTAAGATGATTGAATGGGACGATGTACCAAACACGCAGCCGATGTACTTCGCAGTGCATTTAGAGGAAGGGGAGAGCACCTCATTGAAGGACTCGAGGGCAGATGAGAGCAAGACGAAGAATCGAGGAGACATCCGTCGACGCAGTTATCGATGTCGGCATGTCACGGTGTCACCATCACGCGTCACCTTTGCCTTTGCGCCACACCATCCGTACGGCGCGCTACATGTATACGGTATACCCACTGCAGCTTGTTGGATTGAGGCGGCGGGGACGAACAGTCCCGCAGCTAATCGCAAGCTAATGTGCTATGTCATGAGCTTTATAAATTAAATTGAACGCGATTCGGCCTGGACAAGCAGCATAAGTACGCAGCGTGACCAACCAACTTCCACTGCTGCATCGGCGTCCGATCTCTGACAGAGGTAGCAGACTCGTGAGCACAAAGATTTCGGGTCAAACCGGGCTACTTGCCCCTCAACCAAGAGCAGACTGCAGTATCCGACGTAGGAGCCCCGCTTTTGCCGAATCCCATATCCAATATCTTCAGGAGTCTACTAAACACCTGGTTCCTCCGCTGGCTAGGCTCGTGACCGCCTCTCGTAGCGTGATTGAGGGCAGAATCATGCTAGAGAGGCTGGTGGATTTGCCGTGGGAACCCGGTTCACAGAAACTAAGTCATTTGCCGAGCCCTGCCGAGCCGTTGCCGAGGCTGCCGAGGCTGCCGAGCCCTGCCGCTTGTAGTCCTGTCGCGAAATTGAAGTGGAGTAACCAAACTTTGTAGTCAAGTAAGAAACGTCGCAGTGACACTACAAACTTGCACGAATGCGAGCGCGACGCGTTTAAGTCTCGCTTTGCGTCTCGTCTCCTACGCGCTGCTCTTTTCTCGTATACTACATGTCACGATAATGGATAGAATAGACTCCAAGCTCCGTGAGCTCGGACGTAAGACGCCTGGCTATTTATTTCTACTCGCAAGCTATGTTCTTCCGCAAACTTGTGGACCCGGGGTAGCCAGCGTATGTCCGAGTCGCTGCTGGCGTGAACGTTCAGCTGCAGCGATAATTTCTTGAGAGGAGAGAGGGGTTCTATGTTTATTAGACAGTAGACAGGCAACGAGTACGGCGTGGTAGTGCAGCACTGAGACCGGGATGACGAGATGGAGAGACCTCGATAACGTTAAGTCGTGCTTAGACTGGCTCAGTTGCCGCGTTTGTAGTCAACTGTAGTCGACTACAAATCATTTCTTATTGGATCTCGATCTTCTCGAGG